AAAAGAAGGCTGTCCTTCGCTCGAATTATGGAATTTGATTGCTTATCCTGAAGACCTCACTATCTATGTCGTCTGTGAGTCAGATCGGACCACCAGTGATGCTTTCTCTCATGCAAGGCCCTTACGGCGGGTCTGCTTCGTCCTCCAGACCCTGGATTACCTGTTCCACCTCACGACCACCTCGCAAACCCCCGTGGTGGCCTGGTATTGCCAGCCTCCCTCACATGCCTTTCTTTCCGACTCGGGTAGCCGATCTGGCTCCCAGTCATGTTCTCATGGTTGCCACGGCCATTGCCAAGGCACCTTTTTTCTCTCGAATCGCCCCTTTGCTCTCAGTGAGCGATCCGGGCTTTGGCCCTTGTGCTGCTTCTTGATTGCCGATTCGACGGCCTTCTCCTCCCTCCCTCGCTTCTGGCATAAAATCAGGCCGTTGGCCTCATTACGATCACCTCTCGCTACCATGGCTACATAGCACAATCCCGACCACGTCATGGCGGAAGGCCAGCTTCCCGTCGGAGACGATACACTTGACGAGCTGGGGGATGAGTTCCTCGAAGATCTCCCCGACGGAGCTCTGCCCGATCTCCGCGAAAACGCTGCGCCGTCAGCTCCTGTCAGTGCTCAGCCGCTTCCTTCGGGAGAACCTGCGGCGAAGAAGCTATGCAGTGAGGGGCAATCCTCGGCTGCTGGTACCTCAGGCACTGCCTCCGCGCTCCTTTCGGCCCCTCCTCCGGTTCCCCGCGCGAGCTCCTCCGCAGCTCTGCTGCCACGGCCTCTGCGTCTGGTCGTACACCTGCTCCCTCTGCGCCTCGCCCGGCGCCTGCTTCTCGCTCTCGGCCCGTACAGCCGGAACCTGAAACAGACCATGCTGCTGCTGGCGCGATCACTGGCCTTGCTCCCCATGCTCGCTATCGGAACCTGCGTCGCCATCGCACGTCGGTCGGCGCGGTTCTGCATGCTCTGACGCGCAACACGCAGTCAATGGTGGACGTGATTTTCCCCGAGGCTTCTTCGGAGGAGGTTCGTGCCGCGGTGCTTACGCGTATCTCAGCCCTCATCAACGGTCAGGCTTTTAACGGTGTCATCCCCTCGTTTGAATCTGCGGCTGGTGAGGCCTTGCGGCTTCCCCGCCATACGTATTCCAGGCATACCTTCTCTTGGCCCTCTGCTAATGACGCTAGAATCTTTCGCAGCCTCTTCCCGGTCACGGTTCGTCTGGCTAACAACCGTGCGATGGAAGTCAAGGTTTTCTCTGATCCCAATCAGGAGTTCACGACGGCTCGTGCCAGGGGCGACACCTACGTGGTCCTCCGCAATGTTCCGCTGGGGTACTCTCCTGAGCGCATGCGCAGCACACTTCTTGCGGGAACGACCGAGGCAGGATTGCCTTGGCTCTTTGACCTTCGCCTGTTTCACCGTCTCAAGGATCCTTACGACGACTCGGCGTACTCTCAGCTGCTCGGTCTTCCCGTGGCAGCAGATGGTGATGCAGGCTTCGACCGTATCCCTGCGGTCCTTTGGCTTCCGGGCCAGGAGGACCCTGTGCTTCTCAACATCTCATCCCACTCCTGCTCCGTATGCTCCAGCAATCACCGCGTGTACGATCACGCGTGCTTCGCTCTCACCCGCCGTGCGCGCCTCCCGAACCGCCACACCATCTCGGTGGCCCAGCTGCAATCTGTCAACGGTACGGTCACAAATTTATCTCTCTTGTCACGATGCCTGTTGCGTTCTCTCCCGCCCCCCTTACGTTTCGCCCTTTTCCATATCAACCTCGACAATGTCCTCTCTTCCTGTCATCCCCGGATCCTACGCCTGGCTTCCCCTTCTTCAACACCCCAATCTGCTCGGCCTTTTTTTCTGGCTTACCTTACTACTTGCGACTCTTCACTATTTCCTCCTCCTTCTCACAGGTCGGCTGATTGGCCAGCAGCCCGCCCCCGCAGCTTTCAAGAAGGACCCAGGCCTTCTCCTGATTGGGATCGACCTGGACGTCGAAGTCTGGACGTGCTCCTTGTGCGAGTTCGAGTGTGGCTTGGCCTTGGACAGTGCCATGCACCACCTCGCCTCCGATGCTCACCGCAAGCACCTGCAGGACTCGGCTCACCTGCCGGCTGTCAAAGAGAAATATGGGGCCTGGAGGGTCACTACGCTGTTGCAGCACCCCCGCATCACTGCATTCCTGCAGTAGATGCCTCCTTGGATGGCCGGGCTTTTGCTCGCGCATGTCTAGCCTGCCAGTGGCACTATGTACCTCATAGCCTGAACTTTTGCCTTGCTCTCACGTTTGTATCTCCTGCAAAAGTACTCAATCGCGCTGGCTCGCCCCTGTGCCTGCTCAGCTTCTTCATTCTTTCTCTACCACGCCCTGTGGATGCACATGCCTGCGCATGTGAGGGCTCAACACAGTTCACAATGTTGATCCCCCTTACCATCCGCTGCATTAATGTCAACGGTCTCAATAAAATGCAGAAAATGTATGATCTCCGCTCATGGCTGTCTAACAGTGATCGAAAAGTTGACATATTAATTTTAGTCGACACCAGGCTCACAATCAACTTCCCCCGTCTCCTCCTGTCCTTCAGACCATCTTCTCACGCCCAATGCCCGCCGCCTTATACCGATAAAGCTAAACCAGGAGGTATTGCTATTCTAGTGTTCAACAAAAATATCTCTATATCTTCTATCGACCCCTCCCCTGACGGCCGTTTACTCTCGATCCACGTCAACTTCCTGCAAGAGCAGTTTCGCATCATTGCGATCTATGCCCCCCTGCACGGTCACCCTCCGCAGGCAGTGTGGCGTGCTATCTTCGCCCCAGCACTTGACATCCCCACGGCAGCAGCTGGTACTATTTTGGCCGGGGATTTCAACGCAGTTTGCGCTCCGGAAGACCGAAATAGGCCTCTACTCAGTCACGAAATTTCTGAAGGAACAATGCTGTCGAATATTCTCTCTAATCATGGCTTAATCGATTCTTTCCGGAAAATTTTCCCCACTACCACCATGTTTTCCTTTTTCGCCATCCCTAGGAGCGATCAGGACGAGGATTCTGCTCCCTCTGCCTCCCGCTTAGACCGCATCCACATCTCTAAGGCTCTGGCGGCCCGTCTCCTTGACGCAAGTTATTATTACTCAGTTTCCAAGGATGTGTCGGACCACAATCTTGTCCCTTCCTGCTCCTTCCAATGCGACAGTCCTAACATAGCCCCACGGCCATGGCGCATCCCTCTGGCCATTCTTAAACGTCCGCAGTTGGAGCTCACTGTTAGATCGGCTTGCCGCTCTCTCCCTACGACTCTCTCCGCGGCAGATTGGGACCCTTGGAAGCTGGCCCTGTGCAATCAATTCAAATCCTTCGCTGGGCAAGAAAAGATCCGAGTCCGAAAAACCATCTCGCACTTGCAGACTCTCACTTCCCAACTTCGGATTCACCTTGCCGTTAACCCTACCGACTTAGTAGCCAAGGAACGTCTTCGCATCGCCTCGCTACAGTTTGAACGATACGAAGCTAGCCGGTCTGCCGAGTTAGCGCTGAAAGCGAAGCTCAAAGTAGAGGGCCCAAGAGAGATGGGCGTCTCCTCCCTGCTTGTCGGAGTAAACAACAGGATCAAGGCATCTTTAATAGCCTCGCTACAATCCCCCTCAGGCTCGACTATCACCGACCTGCCCGGTATGTCCGCTTTGTGCACGTCCTTTTTCCAGCAGCTGTATGGCGGCTCTCAGAAGGTGACCCCCGATCCCTCCTTTTGGTCCCTTGTCCCTCCCTCCCAGCTTTCCCCTGAGGCTCTCTCCCCCTCTCGCTCCCTTTCTCTCCCACGGAAATTTCCAAGGCCATCGCCTCGCTCCCGAAAGGAAAAACCCGGGGCCGGATGGTCTTTCAGGAGAGCTGTTCCGAACCTTCCGAACTCTCTTCACTCCCGCTCTGCACTCTCTGTTTCTTGGAACTCAGGACTCTCTCCCCCAGTCTATGCTACAGGGCCGGACAGTTCTCATTCCAAAAAAAGTGACGCCACATTGGTCGACAACCTACGCCCCATCACACTTATGAACACCGATTATAAGGTACTGGCGATTTGCCTGGCTAATCGCCTTCAACCTCTTTTGCCTTCCCTCATCAACCACTCACAGACCGCCTTCATCAAGACCCGTAGGATTGGGGACACACTTAATGACACCTTGGACATCTTCGACTGGGCCACGGCACAGTCATTACCCCTTCTTGCACTCACTGTCGACATTCGGAAGGCGTATGACATGGTCGACAGAGATTTCCTCTTCACCTGCCTCTCCCACCTCGGCCTTCCTGCCACCTTCATCCACTGGGTCAAATTGATGCATTCAGGCACCACTACCCGAATTTCCGTGAATAACTTCTGCGGTCCTTCTATACCTGTCATCACCGGTGTCAGGCAAGGATGCCCGCTGGCTCCGTTACAGAAATTTTCCACCGCTATACTTCCTGCTTCTTGCCTGGATTCCCTATTTCCCGCACCCAACGCCGACTGATGGCATGTTATGCGGATGACGTCACCATCTTCCTCAACTCGGATGATGAGCTTCGTGTAGCCTCTCACGCCTTGCTCTCCTTTGCCTCAATCTCAGGCGAGCATCCCAATTGGGCTAAGTGCTCTGTCATTCCCTTCAACTTCTCCCCTTCCGCTATCACCCGCGCAGGCGATATCCCCATTCGATCACACTCAGATTTCGAACGGATCCTCGGTATTTCCGTGGGCTGTTCCGGTCTCACCGATACCACCTGGAACATCACATTGGCAAGGTTAAACGCTCGGCCAACCTCCTCTCTAATCTTCATGCCACCTCCTCGTGCAGGAAAAACCTGTCCTCGGAGAATCTCAATTCAGCCCTCTCGTATCCAGGTCGCTTCCAACCGCCATCCTCCCCCACTACCAAAGCACTGGATGACGCGGTAGGAAACTTCCTGTCCGCATCAAAGTTCAAGTCGGCGGGGACGAACGACACGCCTCCTCACCCACACGGTCCTGTACAACAAGATCGAGCACGGTGGGTTGGGCGCGATCCGACCTTCGGCACAAATCAAAGCCTTAAACATACAACGAGCCCTCCGCCGCTTCTTGTCAGAGTATTATAGCTGATGCATGTTTGTAGGCTATAGTGGGGTAGCACATATGGGGTACAGCTTTCTAGGGTTGTATTTGTACCCAACTCTGACTTAGTCATTCTCATTCCTGTTCACTTGTTTCACATGGTATAGAGCGGGTCCTTCCTTAGGACCGTTTTTTTTAGGGCCCACCGAAGCGCGCCCCGAGGCGCGCCCTTTTTTTTTAGCGACCCCTCGGGTCGCCATTTCCCTCGCGGCCCCGCTGTCCCTCAGACGCGGCCCCGCCACCCCTCCTGATCGCGGCCCCGCCGCCTGCTTGACGCGGCCCCGCCGCCTCCACTGACGCGGCTCCGCCGCCGGCTCTGACGCGGCCCTGCCGCCCGCTTCGTCGCGGCCCCGCCGCCTGCTTGACGCGGCCCCGCCGCCTCCACTGACGCGGCCCCGCCGCCGGCTCTGACGCGGCCCTGCCGGCCCGCCGCTGCACCCTACGGCCCGCCGCCTCACCTGACGGCCCCGCCGCTGCACCTGCCGGCCCGCCGCTGCACCTGCCGGCCCGCCGCTGCACCCAGCGGCCCGCCGCTTCACCTGACGGCCCCGCCGCTGCACCTGCCGGCCCGCCGCTGCACCCTACGGCCCGCCGCTGCACCCTACGGCCCGCCGCCTCACCTGGTCGGCCCGCCGCTGCACCCTACGGCCCCGCCGCTGCACCTGCCGGCCCGCCGCTGCACCGGTCGACCCGCCGCTGCACCTGACGGCCCCGCCCCTGCATCTCCCGGCCGAGCCGCCCCAGCAGCAGAGCCGCCCCAGCAGCCGAACCGCCCGGGAGCCGAGCCGCCCGGGACCCGAGCCGCCCTGCCGCCGAGCCGCCCGGGAGCCGAGCCGCCCGGGAGCCGAGCCGCCCTGCGCCCGAGCCGCCCAGCCGCCGAGCCGCCCGGGAGCCGAGCCGCTGTGCACCCGAGCCGCCCGGTCGCTGAGCCGCCTTTCTGCAGAGCTGCACGACCTGCCCTGCCTGGTGAGCACAGTCCCACTGACACTGCGAGCTCTTTCCCTACTGCTTGCACTGCGTCGCTGTCGTCGCCATGGCTACCCCTAGTGTCCTAGCTTTTGACGCTGAGGGTCGCGCCATTGATTTTGAGGTCTGGTTAGACGACCTGCAGCTGTTCTTACAGTGCGACAGGGCTGACGACCTTTCTCTCTTTGACCTCACCTCTGGCGCCTCTCCTGCTCCTGCTGCTGATGCTGATCCCACTGTCCGCTCTCAGTGGGCCACCCGCGATGCTGCTGCACGTCTTGCTGTGCGTCGCCACCTCCCTACCTCTGAGCGTGCGCACTTTAGTCAGTACAAGAGTGCTCAGACCTTGTACGACGCTGTAGTTGCGCGCTACTCCTCCCCTGCCACTGCTGCACTGAGCCGTCTCATGCTTCCCTACCTCTTTCCTGACCTCTCTGCCTTTCCCACTGTTGCTGACCTCATTACGCACCTCCGCACTAGTGACACTCGCTACCGCGCCGCCCTTCCTGCTGAGTTCTGCGCTAAGAACCCACCCCCCATGTACATCGCTCTCTACTACGTAGTCGCGCGCCTCCCTGACTCCCTTCGCGTCGTCAGGGACCACTTTCTCGCAGTCTGTCCCACCACCCTCACCGTCGACCTCCTCGAGAAGGCCCTCCTTGCAGCGGAGAAGAGCATAGTCGCTGTAGGTGCTTCTCGTGGTGACCCTCGCACCCCCATCTTTGAGGGGTGCTCTCCTTCCCCCTTGCTGCCCTCTGTTGCCTCTGCTGCTGCTGCCGACCTGCTTGGTCTTGAGTCGGTCGGCGCGGCGTCTACCCCTAGTGGGAGACGTCGCTCCAGCAAGGGCAAGGGGGGCAAGGGCGCGGGTGGAGCTGGAGGGGCGGTGGCGGTGGCGGGCGGCGGTGGCGGCGGAGGGAGTGGGGGTGGCGGCGGGACTAGTGGCGGGGGTGGTGGTGGTGGTGGCAGCAGCGGCGGAGACGGTGGTGGTGGTGCCAGCGGTGGTGGTGGAGGCAGCGGCGGAGGTGGAGGCGGCGGAGGTGGAGGCGTGGAGGCGGCAGCGGAGGAGGCGTGGTGGTGGTGGAGGAGGTGGAGCTGGTCGGGGTGGTACCCAGCAGCGTAGCGGCGGTGGTGGTGGCCAGCGCTCGCAGCGGCAGCAGCAGCAGCGCTCGCGGGACATCCTCCGCCTCAGCAGCTTCGTGAGTGGTACGCTGGGCGTCAGAGGGGTGGGGGTACTGGTCCCTGCACTACGTTCTGCGGAGATAACTACAGCAACGGGAGCTAGGCTACGGGCTAGGCACGTGTGCTCGTGTGATCTCTGCGTTCTCTGTTCCTTAGTCGTTTTCCTTGTGCACACACTACTTGCTAGTTCACGGGGAAAGTTGGCAAGAGTTTCACTAGGAAAAGTTCAGAAACAATTGGTACAATGAAGTTGGCATAGCATGACTACGTCAGAGCAAGCATTCAGGTCGGCCAACTGCCAGCGCAGCTTGGTCGACCGCGTTCCAGCACGACTTGGTCGACCGCACTCCAGCAAGGCAAGGTCGACGGCGTGCCAACGTCGCAGGTTGACGGCGTGCCAGCGTTGCTCACGCAGGACAGCAGTGCACCCGCCTCGCAGGTGTGCGTAGCTGATTGGCGTGCAGAGTCCCGTCACCTGCACAGCGCACACTCCACGTCAACCTCGAGCTGACGACTGCCTCTGGTCCGCCACGACGACCTCGGGGATACCACCACCGTGGTCGTGCTCGCCACCTTTGCCTGGGCGACCGTCGCACTTCTCCGCAGCACTTCGTCACCCAGGTAACCTAGTCGACCGGGCAACCACGTCGACCCAGCAGCTCTTGCACGTGCCCGTCGACCTCCCAAGTCGACGACCACCCCAAGTCGACCTCCTCAGGTCGACCACTACTCCCTGGTCGACCAGCTCCAAGTCGGACGTCACTCCTGGTCGACCAGAAGGGCTGGTCGACTTCCCAGGTCGACCAGGATGGTCTGGTCGACGTCCCAGGTCGACCAGAAGGTCTGGTCGGCGTCCCGGGTCGACCAGACGAAGGTTGGCGCCCTCCTGAAGTCGGCGCCCATGCAGTGGCTCCCCGTGCAGGTCGACTAACCTCGTCGACCAACTCGCCCACTGCTGCAGGTCCGGCTGCACCCTACACCGACCACGAAGTCGGCTCCGCCCAGGCGTGGACGGGGCCAACATACAACTCCCGTTGACACTCCCCTGCCGCGTTCACGCTTGGGCACCCAGCCCACACGGCAGTACAGTTCGGAGACTAGCTCGTCGACGTGCACCCAACACATAGCACGTCGGTCCACCGCACCAGCCATGCAAAGGGCATGGCACCTACTACTGCACGTCGTTGTCGCCGTCGCCCACGTCGGCCAAGCGCACTTGGCCGATTGCGACGGAGCACCGGTTGAAGGCCGGATAGTGCAGCGCCTTCGTCAGGAAGTCGGCCGGCTGCTCAGCGGTTGGGATGTACTGCAGCGAGAACTTCCCGCGCCTCACCATGTGCTGCAGCCAGGCCTGTCGCCGCTCCATGTGCTTGAGGTTGCCCATCAACCCCATGCCCTCGGCAGCCGTGATGGCCGACTTGTTGTCCACACGCAGGACAGTCGGCTTCCCGGCGTCGAGTTGCCGGAACTCGGCGAGGAGGAAGCGAAGGCGGCGTCCCTCCTTGCCAGCTTCAGTGGCCCGCCCACGTACTCCGACTCGGTCGACGACAGCGTCGCGCCACTTGATGCGCTGGCTCGACCAGGAGACTGCAGCCCCTCCGTAGACGAACACGTAGCCGCTCGTGCTCATCCTGTTCTGCTTTGTCACCGGCGTCGTCGGCGTCCACGTAGCCGACCAGCTCCAGCGACTGAGGTCCACCGCCGAACTCCAGGGCGGTGTCGCGTGTGTTGGCGAGGTAGGCGAGGCAGCGATCGACCTCGTGCCAATGCTGGTCGCTCCTCACCGTGAGGGCCGCTCCCCAGCTTGCTGCATGCGAAGGCGACGTCCGGCCTCGTCGTCGTCGCCGCGAACTGCAGCGAGCCGACCTTCTGCCGGTTACTCCTCCTCCTGACGTTCCTGCGCCTCCTCGTCATCGAAGGTGAGCTCGGCGTATGCACCGACCGAGACCGGCGTCTTCGGGGTGCGCCCGTTCTGCTCCCCGTCGAGGAAGCGCCAACGCAGCTTGTCGGCGTAGCCCTGCTGGTGCAGCCACAGCTTCCCCGCCGACCTATCGCGTACGATCTCGAGCCCGAGGTACTTCTGAACCGGCGAGATCTCGCGCAGCTCGAAGGCGGCTTCCAGCAGCTCCCTCAGCTCCGTCAGCATCATGGCGCTGCTGCTGGCGGCAAGCAGGTCGTCGACGTAGACCAGCACCCAGCAGACTACCTCACCCTCGCCGACTTTGCAGTAAAGAG